CCCCCCCCCCCCTTCCCGTCGACATCCTTGACGGGGACGCCACGCGGGGGGACACGGACGGAGACAACCGTTTCCGCGGGACTGTCATAACGAAGTGGTGGACCCTCGGCAGCATCGCCTCGGCGGCTTCGCCGTCCCCTCGCTCGCCGTGGTGCGGCAGCGGCGGCAGCGGCAGCGGTGGCTCGTTGGCAGAGGAGGCGAGGGAAGACTCTGACGAGGAGGAGGATAGCGACGACGACGACGAGAAGGTGATGGGGAAGGACAAGTCGACCTTCGGCAAGGCCCGCTTCTTCTCGCCCGGCTGTTGTTTTTGTTTTTTTAAGGCCCCGACGATCGGAGAGCATGTGAACAGAAAAGAGAAACGGCGAGAAAGTTCACCAAGACAAAGAAAGAGGGAAGTGGAAGAGACGGAGGGGTTCCCGGGAGAGAGGGGTGACAAGAGAGCGTGTGAGTGAAAAAGATAGGGACAGGTACAATTGAGAGGGGTGGGTGCAAAGAGGGGGTCGGCAGAGAGATGCCGAGAGGGGGGTAGTGAGGGGAGACAATCGCGGGGGCTGCCAATGTAGGTGCGTAGGTACATGCTTTAATACTACACCCCCATCGCGGGTGTAAGACCCGACAGCAATTCCGACGCAAAACCTCCATGCTCTCTCTCTCTCTCTTTGTCTCTCTCTTTCATGTCGAATCGCGAGCACCAACCTTCTTCGCCTCGACACGTGCGATGGCGGACGGCAGGCAGTACCGTGGAAGGGCTTCAGTAACGTTCGCCGCCATCAGCTCCAAGATCTGCCCGTTCAATCGGGATCGCACCTTTGTTGTGGGCACGGCAGGGGGGGTGAGGAGTCGCAAAGGTGGATGAGCTACAGGGGCCGTTTTCATGATAACGGGGTGGGGGGTTAACCAAAACATGGAGACGAAAGGGGTTTGCGAGAGCGGCCCTCCGCATCAGGGGTGATGATTTGGTCAGGGTAAAATACGTTGTGCGTCGTCCCCCGCGCCCAATCGACAAATTACAAACCAATAATACATGGTGCGAACAGAAGGATTTCGCGATATGAAAAAAAAACAATACTGAGCCTCGCGGAGGCATCCTTCTCATCATTACGGAGGAGCTCGGACAAACAACGACAAAGCCAGGCTGTACGAAAAATGTGTAAGAACGCACGAGCACAGGGTCATACGTCACGCCGCGTACACACGCATTTCGTGTCCCGCAAAGACTGGTGTCTGCCCATTAGCCAGCCAGCTAACGCAGTTGACACTTGTCTACAACACACACACACACAAGGCAGGCAGGGTTAGGGTTAGGGGTTAGGCGCCGAGAAGAGTCTCGAGAACAGCCTCGAGAACAGTCTCGAGAACAGTCTCGAGAGCAGCAGTCTCACCTCGGCATAGTTGGTATCACTCGAAGCCATGCCCGCCAGCAGCTCAACATCTTCCAGCTCATCCCCCCCCCCCCCCCCCCCCCCCCCCCCCCCCCCCCCCCCCCCCCCCCCCCCCCCCCCCC